TGCTTTGAGCTCTTTCCACGCAAAGGTGGCTGGGGCAGGAGGGAGCAGGTACAGCCCCTCTGCTTCCCTCCCGCCCTCCGCACCGTTCCGCAGCTCTGGTTTCGGGCAGGGCACCCCCACCCGTGCCCGTGGCTTCATTTCACTCGTGTCTCTGCCCTCCACACGCTGCTGCTGCTGCAGCTCCCTTGGGAGTTCTCCTCTCCCGGAGCTCCCTTGTGCTCGGGCTGGGAGCTGGAGCCCCGTCTGGGCGAGGCTGTGCTCCTCCCGAGCCCGGGCTGCCGGGCTCCGGGCCCTATGGCAACCACAAACACCGGGAAGTGCTGGGAGGGGATCGTGCTGAGCCCCAGCGGGTTCCGCTCCCACCCAGAGCTGGGCAGGGGAGCACAGGTGTCCTGGCTAAGCACAGCGAAACCCTTGCTTCCAGCACAAGTTAATGGAGTATCAGGAAAGAGAGCAATTCTCTGCAATATTAAAGCACAGCACTACCTTTTTTTTCTTTTTCTTTAATGTACTTTATTCCACATCATATTAAATATGATATACTTTTTTTCTACTTGAACCGTTAATATTTTTCTTTCCATGTCTTCTTTGTAAGCAAAATCAAGTTGCTGCACACAGCTTCTGCTCTGTGTGGCCCAAGGCAGAACTTTCCACGTCATTTTTTAAGGACCCCTGAGAAAAAGAGAACTTGAAATTTCTACTGCACACAAATTAGCCTCTCCTAAGATGTTTACTTAGGAGCACATCTTAATTCTGCTCTGTAAACAGCCTTCTTAGATCAGGAAAGAATATTTTAGGAGATCAGTTCAACATACCAGGGAGCTATTAGCCATCATTTTCTGCAGTACGTGGAATCTTGTGTTACTGGTGGTACACACAGGCAGGAATACCCAGTGACTCCAACTGAAATAAGTTCCACAGGAAATGTTTGACATTTAGTAGAGTTGCAAATGCATAGAAATTATGTAGTTAGCTCCTCACAGTGGTATGATTTGAGACATCAATGCTATAGAGCCAACAATGAATGAAATAAGAAAGCTATAATATTGACATTTTTTTCCTACTCCTGCTTCCTGCTCCAAGCCAGATCAGCCCCAGGACCAAATACAAAATAAGAATCTGCCCTCTTCTCAAGTAAGAAGCCTAAGAATCAGGAAAAATAAAACAAACAAACAAACCAACAACCCAAACCCCCTCATCTCACTATTTAACATTCAAGACTACTAAGGCTAACAAAAAGTCTAAATAGAGCATATATGTGCTGCTGCTGCTGCTGGCTGCCATCAGCTTGTGTTAGCTGCCATTGCTATATATTTTTCTGAAGAAAAATACCCAGATACTTAAGGTCTGCCTTTTCACTTCATATAAAAATATGATGCTTGTCCCTAAGTAGAAAAAAGTAACTGCGAATATTAAAGGTGTTTACGTTTATTTAAGAATACAATTCTACAAAACAGGTTTCAAAAGAGGCCATGTTTAAAAAAAACAAGTTTCCAAGTTCTCACTTATTTCTGGCTGTTTTACTTCACTCAATAGCAAATTCAATAACTTATCTTGTGAATCAAGTGTTTAACATTTTAGATCAAATAATTAAAGTAATGTGAGTAATCAAGTAATTTGATTAAATCCCTTTAGTAAGCTCCATGGAACACAGCAGCTTTCAAGTCGATGTTATTCACCGAGTAAAAAAAGTTCCAGCATGCAAATTTTTCCCTCAAAGTGAATTCTAAATTGACTGCCACAGATAATTTATCTATGAAAGCCCAAACGACCAGAAGAGTTTAATATTCCTTTGCACTAAACAGGTCACCAGACGCCTAGGTCAGAAAAAAAGACCACATATACCAGGTATGAGTGCTAATTGTTGGTGTCAAAAGTAGCAAACATAACGTAGTTCCACCCAGAAACTGTGTGTGCTCCCAGGGATAAGTCAAGCAACAGTTTGTCATACTCTTTTTATAGAGAGTTCTACAATATTTGATGCAATAATATTTTCTAACAAGGAAGGCTTCTTCCCTTAAGGAAATAACATATTTATTTTAAAATGTGGGCTGTTAAGTGTGTTTATTTGCTAAAACTTACTTTTCAGTGATAGAAAACACTTCCTTCTCCTTCTTCCCCTAACTGAATCATGCAGCCATGACTGAAAGGGCATTGCACTGGTTATTAAATTCTTATGGTTTCTCAACAAAATGCTTGAAATAACAAGGGAAAACTTACACCAATATACTTAAAAGGACTTGAACAATCCCCTAGTGCTTAATAGCACAGCAGCTCCATTCAGCTAAAATTAATGGAAGTGCTGAGCATGCATCATCGCTTCACTCCTACATGCACCATTTCCATAGGATGAGGTGTATGGCCAGCCCAGACTGCAGGAGCTGAAGAGGGTTTTCCTGGCACTAGCACTGTGTGCCTGTGGCCAAACTGTGCTTGACACAAAGGTGGCAAGGCTCTGTCTGGCAGGGCTGCACAAGTTTGGAAATATAATGTTATTTTCCCATGAAGCTTGAGCTAATAAGCACAGAATGTACAGCTAAGGCAACATCTGCATGGGCATCGCTGAGCCAGAAGCACCTCGTGGCTCTGCAGGGCTTATCAGCCAAGTGTTTGTACTTCACTCTGGGTATCCAAGTTTAGCCTGGAGAAGAGGAGACTCAGGGAGGACCTTATCACTCTCTACAACTACCTGAAGGGAGGCTGTAGGCAGGTGGGGGTCAGGCTCTTCTCCCAGGCCACTAGTGACAGGACGAGAGGGCATGGCCTGAAGCTGCACCAGGGGAGATTTAGGTTGGACATTAGGAAGCACTTCCTCATGGAGAAGTGATTAGACATTGGAATGGACTGCCCAGGGAAGTGGTGGAGTCACCATCCCTGGAGGTGTTTAAGGATAGACTGGACGTGGCACTTAGTGCCATGGTCTAGCTGATGTGGTGGTGTTAGGTCATAGGTTAGACTTGATGATCTCAGAGGTCTTTTCCAGCCTTATCAATTCTGTGATTCTGTTACACAGGTTCTGTCAATGCCGAAAGTATTCAAGCATTGTGCAGATCCCTCTACTTTCTGTGCACTTCAAGATGGTTGCCAGTGCCTGTGCCACTGCATGACCTCAGCAGCACTGGAAGGCCACTACACCATACATGTGAGGTGAGAGAGCACTTCTGCTGTGCAGTTCTTCAAAATTTAAGTCTAGCAAGAGACCATGCTGTGAGCGGATACAGTTCAGCACCAAACTGGTGCAATGCTCTTCCTTTAACATCTCAGATTTTTGAGAACCCTTCCAAAAGCAATGGTCACTAAAAAGTACCATCTTATATATTGATAAATCAGAAATTAACACAAGTAAAATAACATAGGGAACCTTACCTTACAGGGCAACTGATTTGAAGACTGCATGAAAAATGCTGAGCAAAATGAATGTGTTGCCAAAATACTAGGAATTCTCATAAATTTTTATGTACTAATAAGATGTATATTTTATTCAAGATGTACTTTTCCAGTGTGACCATGAAAAACCCCACCCCAAGTTTACTATTCTGTGATTTCCTTTGTCATTAATTGACTTAATCAGTTCCAATACTCAATTAAAGTGCTGAAGTGATTTTGCAATAAATAATTGTACAAAACCAGAGCCCCTCTATTTAATATCTAAAACAACTTAAATCTTCTGAACACCGAACAGTGTGCATATGGTGTGAGGGTTTCCCTAAAGGAAACAACTGTCATAGCTAGTTTAGCAGCTTTGAACTCCAGTTCCTCTTCCTCTCTGCTCACCCTCTCCCCTACCCTGAAAACACCTGATCTATATTCACTATGGCTTACTCAAAATCTAGTCCTCTCAGTCACTTTTAAGATAAAATATGCAATATGCCAATTAAATTGCAACAACTTTTATTTGATTTTTCTGGTATTAGCAGAAAGACAGCGCAGCAGCTTCAGTTACTAAAGCATTTGATTTTTGCTTTAAAACAAGTTTCAGGGCTTTACTAATGAGCATGGCAACAGAAAGTCTTAACGATACTGCATTTTATTGGGGTGAAAAAGTGCTCAAAAATACAAGCTTGGTAGTGTTGTCCTTCCTCCTCACTTTTCACACAGGCTCACTTATAGAAAACAGGCTCCTTGTTAGTGGACTCTCCAGGTGACATGTTTTAGACAGACACGGGACCGACTTTTCTTTATAGTGCAAAAGATGTTCTTAAGTGATAAGATAGACTCCCAGGCCTCTCTCTTTTCTATAAAGAAGGAAAACTCTGCCAGATTGCTTCTGGCTGAACCCCATTCATTTTTCCTGCAATGACAATTGCTAGAGAATGAAAGCACCCTCTGGGACATGGAGGGTTTAGTTTCCTTTGGCAGCAGTCGTGATTGGAAGCAAACCTGAATTATTTTCCTTCAAAGCAACAAATAAGGAATATTTTTCTGCAATGTCAAAAACATGCACATTAAACAAAACCAAACTTCCCAATAATCCTAAAGTGTAAGATTGCTTAACCTAAAAAAAAAAAACACAACAAAAAAAACACCAAAAACAACCAAACAAAAAAACCCTGACAAAAAATAGCACCCAAACCCTACAAACCCAACCAAGTCGTTACAAATTCAAGTGTAGAAGTTGATCAACAGTACCTTCAGATCCAGTGGGTGGGGTGGGAGGGATGGCACAGGGGAAGGCTATCACATAGCATTCAGTTATGCCACCTGACAAACTTACAATAGATACTCCTAAAGGGAAAAAAAAGTCTATGTCCATCAGGGCTATCTTAAAATCTGTAGTCTGTTTCTGCTCTGGTTACACAAAACTTCTTTACAACTATAATGATTTTTCCATAATTTGCTTCAGTTGGGTGAGATAGTTCACATGGCTGTACTCACCTCTGTGCTCCCTCCACAGTGCTTTCGTTTGAACTATCATTAATTACTGTGTGTGTGGCTTTTCTGAGGTAAAAGTCCATGTTGCTTTTTCACATATGAATGGCAAACACTCATTTCACTAAAGGTTTTTGACAATTTATTACCATTATTTGGCTTGAGAAACAAAATTAAGTTTTTTTCAAAATGTTACTGTTTTTAAAATGTTAGTGCTCACCAACAGTAATAAGAAACAGTCCTTTTTCTGCCTTATTCTTCCATAAATTTATGTATAAATAATGCACTGAAAAAAAATGCCTTTTGAGTCACCTGCAAAAGTTATTATAATAGTATTGTATCATTATGATTTAAAAATGCAGATAGCCTCATTATTGCAAATTTTTACCCATTAACATACCACATACTCCACTCAAAATGTTATCTGTGAATGTCACAAATGATAATCCTGCTCTGAACTAACTCATTATTATTATGATGAAATATCACAGAGACTTGGAAGGGGGTCAAAGGGGAAAACCCCACCACACAGAAGTCTTGCACAAAATGCATGCATGTGTATAAATACTCAAAAGTTGCTTTAGGAACAAGTAGCAAGATACAGCAAGGACAAATGCAAAGTTTATTCCACATAGGCTACAATTAATCAACATGTTAGGGAAGTATCAAAATTTGTAGTATTAACATATGGCCACAGTTTTATTGTTACAACACATTGCAATAGATTAGCCCCACTCAAAAAGGCTTTTAAGCTGCAGACAGTGCAATTGCATTAAATCTTAATTCTTCTGGGTCACGTTCCATGAATTTCTTGCAAACTTCTATTGCATCCTAGGGAAAAAACATAAAACAAACCAAAACACACTATAAATCATACTTATTAAAAAACTCACAACTGAAATATGAAGATACGCTTTAGACAAACTATGCTCAAAATTGTTTTTTCCATAAATAGTTACTAAATAGTGTGATAAAGCTACATAAACTGTATTTCTGATCCGAGTTACCACTAATCAAGATTATTTACAGGGCTCATATATAGGCAGCAAGAGAGCAAAAGTTGTGTGCGGAACATTAGCAAGAATGGATTTTGTGACTGAATATTACTTTGTGCAACAGATGTGCTGCTTGTCTGAGTTTCTAAATGCATCTCTGAAGTTTGCTTCTAGTAATACTGCTGTATTCAGAAGTTTTTCCTTTGTCTCAAGATGAATCTAAGCTGTGTGGGGTAAGTGAAAGATTGTAAGTAATTCCTTCATCTAACTTTAGGGTGCAATGTGGAGAACACATGTTATCAGTAAACCAGGAAAAAACCCACATATGAAGAAAGGAAAGCTTTATCCAACTTCTCCCCCTGCCCAAACAAGCACAAATGCTATGCAATCTTTACAGATGCTAGTCTATGCTACTAAACTCTAAAAGGTTTTGTTAGTTTGGTTTTTAGTTTCTCTGGTTTCTTCCTTTCATAAAGCTAATCCAGTCTGGATACCATAAAAGTGAGATCTATGCACTGCCTTCTCAGCTTCAACTTCACATCATTCTCTGGGGATGACAGTTTATCCTCCCAATTCGATGTATTTCCTTCCAATCTTCCAGTTAATTTCTCAACTAAACAGCTCCTGACACAAAGAAGCACCTCAAAGCAGCCATGAAACTGGAGAAGATTATTGGGAAATGTCAGAAACAAAACCAATGTCTGTTTAGCACGGCACCTATCAAACTACAACTAAACCAAAGGGAAGACAATGAAAAATTATCCCAAGTTTTCAAACTGATGACTTAATCTCACATACAATTTGAAAGGAGCAGGGGTATATGAAAATCTCAGCACAGAAGTCAGTCTGATTCTCTTTTATGGTCATCCCTTCTGACATTTCTTGTTATCATGGTATGATACTCTGTCCTCCGGATTCACAATGTCAGCTTTGCAAAAAACCTCTTTCAAAACTGACTAAACCTGATTTTTGTCTCACCATCCCACTTGTTCTATTCCTCATCCAACCATACATACAGCCAGACTTTTTATAGAAATACTTTTTCTTTTGTTTTTTTTAAACTAATTTTGTGGAAATACAGCAAGAATTTTGTGTAGCACCATTTAAGAAGATTTTCTATTCCTACCTCTAAGAAGGAATCATCACTAGTTTCCCCATGGTTTATTGGAAATGGTTTGCGCCCATCTGTTGAAACACAAAGAAGGTTGAACAACACATTCATAACACTGGAAATGCTTCATTTGTCCTGTTAAAAAAATATCTGAACAGATTTTTTTGCTCTTCACTCACAAAAATGCTACCACATTTTTCATTAAAGAATCACACATGTAACTGGCTATTCCCTGGTCTCTCCTCCACTGCCAGCTGCTTCAATAGGTATCATTAGGTACAGTTTGTTGCATTTCAAAAAAACTAAACAACAAACCAAATAAAAAAAATAAATACTTTAAAATATTTTATTTGAAAACTTTAAGGCTATAACTTGTGATTGTTCTAGTGCAAGCATTGTACTTCAGTTTTTCAAGTAGAGAAGAACAATTTCCACTACACTTAATGGATTTATGCAGACAGACAGCTGTATGTCTGTGGTCTTTGACATCTGTCATCAGGAACGCTACGAGAGAACAGAATACCAAACCCACCAGTTTGAAGAGTTTGGCATAACTGAAATGTTACTCTCATTTAAAATATATAAGCAAACAAACCCACTAACTTGAAGTATTAAGTACTTTCACAGCATTAAAAAATGGTTGCTATAGTTAATTATTTTTTTCTCCTGTTTGCAGTATAATGCTCTCATTCTCAGCATTTAGAAAATAACTGTTTTTCACAAAAATACTTTTCAGGTTACTTGTGAAAAGCTAACTATATGAGAACATATGTCAGGATATCCTAAGTATTTGCGAGATCAAATTCCCTTTTAGCGCTGTCCTCCCTTTTAAAGACTCCCTTCCCAAAGGTTCCATAAAAGTTGACGTTACTTCCAAACTACATTTTCCATACCTAAAAATAGAATTGATGTTAGAAAACTTTTGGATTTACGTGAACAAGAGATTGTTCATTGTTGTAAAAGCCATGATTTGAAGACCCAACAATGCAAAACCCTCAGAACATGCCAGGAGCAACTGAATGCCCTGTTTGATTTTATTTGATTTTTTTTTACATACATCTTGGCAGAGCAGCATTTTAATTTCATCTGGCTATAAATAACATGTTTTCTATGGCAAAAACATCACAAACATTTAACATTCATGAGCTTCCTTCGTATTTTCTGTCTGCCAAAGCCCACATGCTGGCCACAGAGGCTAAAGTCAGTGAACTAATAGAAAAACCTTCTCCCGTTTTCCTAATTTTAAATATTTTTTGCTTTCTTCCTCTGGTACAGAGAGGAGTTATTTTAAGAACAAAGGAAATAGTAGTATTAGCATTTCACTCAACAGTGGAGTTAAATGTCTTTCTTTTTTTTTAAGTTTCTTTTTTTATTTAAGCAAAACATTCAAGTGGGTTTTATCTTGCATCCCACTTATGGATAATGGCTAAACGTGCTAATCATAGTCTGTAGTGTGCTTTTTCAACAAAGCCAATTAAATGCATAATGAAAAGGTAACATGGAAATAGTAGGTCACAACTAAAAGACAAGTGAGCCATCCATCACGCCTTGAAATTTAGAGTCGAAATGCTTCTGTTGCATCCCACAGTAGTTGCTTCACTATTTGATCTTGTTCACTGACAGCATCATAACATTACAGAAATGTGTGCCTACTGCTTATGACTTACCACTGACAAAACACCTTAGATAACCTTAATATTAACATAAGCACTTCTTATATACCGGTTATGCCCCAGGTTATGATAAGTTACCACCTGTTAAGGGCATTGCTTAATTACATGTTGACTTTCAGAAAAAGAAAAATGTTCTCACCATTAAACACTGCAAAAATGTTAGGAAAGACCAGTGACTTGCCGTTTTAAAATCCTGATCTACTTGCTAGTTTGCTGGAGTGCCTGCAGCAAGACCTAGTTGCCCAGCAACACATTTAAGATTGGAGTCACTAGAGAATGTCTGAGCAGAACTTGGTACTACACAATCCAAAGAGGGGGGAAAAATAGCTGTAATTCAGAAAAGAGAGAGCACTGTTTTACAGTTTACTGTCTAGTGACCAAAAAAAAAAGGTAGAAGAAAAAATAACCAGCTTCTACCAAAAGAGTTGCAGAATATTAGGATCTCCTACTATTCTGACTACATAATTTCAGTTTAAACAGTATCACACTATTTAATAATATAGCTATCACTTCTAAAGTGGCATACAGTTCATGTACTACTTCCACAAGCAATTCAGTACATCAGTACTTTCTCCTCTTGTTGCTTCCTGTCCTTGTAACCGATAAAAGAAATTTAGAGGCAATGTAGTAATCTGTACCATTTTATCTCAATAGGAGGGAGTTGAGCAAATGAGAACCCCCTCAAAAAATCTAGACGGAAGGCTGAAGCTGTTTGACAGAACCCCCCAGACCTTGTGATGCAGTTCAAAAGAATGTAAGCCCTACATTACATCAAGTAATCTCTCTCAAACTTTGATACTTAACGTTATTACTTGTATTTGTTTCAAACAAATGGAGAGAGTGTATGAAAGTGTTCTTACCTAGTTCATAGAGATGACCACCTACATTAACTAATGCAATAAAGTGAAGATCTACTTTTTCATCTATACTTGGTGCCTGCAAGAAAAAAAAAACAAAACAAAAAGAAACTGTGTTCACTAAAACTCTTATCACAATATGATTAATGAGAACGTATTGTCATAATATGGAAAACTCCTGGCCAAAAGAAATCACAAGTGAGAAGTACATTTTGCATCTATACACAATGGCAAAAGTCACACTGTAGAACATTTTGGAATATAAAGAAGCTTTCTGCAATGCCCATATCAGTAAGAATCCTTTCAGTATAGTATCTGGAAGTATTTCCAATTATCCTATATGTAAAAGCTTTATTTTTAGTTACTGACTTAGAAGTAGTATCAGCTCAAACACATTAACATTAAAAACAGATATTAATATAAATTGCAGCTCTTTCACTAACCCACCTCCCATAACAGACTGAATTCTGAAGCTGTAGTGTTTTAAAACTGAAAACATTTGCTTGGTCAAAGCAATTTTTTCCTTGTAAGCCACATATAATACAATCAACCCGCTCCATCTTCACAGTTGAACGACACAGTTCATAGATCTTAGCTGGGGAGGAAGGAAAATAACCAGGCATCTAGACTGAAATTCTGAAGTGGCATCACCGGCATCCTACCAAGAATGGACTGAAGTGACAGTATTAAGTGATATGATATTAAAAAAAAAATTGCAGTCAGTAAAGAGCTATGTAGCCCAGTACTGTGTTGCCAACTACAGCAAACAAAAGCTTTTCCAGAAGAAAACAGGGCATGCACAGCACAGTACTCTGCCAGCAGACGTTCCCAGCATCCACTACACAGAAGTTTTTGAACTTCTGAGCCAAAAGGTTCATCACCACAGTTGTGTTCATTAGCCATTTATGGTCTTATTTCCTCATCAGCCTTTCCAGTCTGCATCTGAGCCTTGATCCGTAATTTAAGAAGATACTGTTTGAATGGGATGGGAAAAAGCAATTATCAAGAATCTGACTTCTGTGAAAAGATATTTAATGCAATTTTCTTCCATCTGTCCTTACATGAATGTCTTGAATCACCCCAAAAATCTAACAATTTTCTAGAAGCAGGTAAAGAGTGTAAAATTACTGTAAAATGAACCTTACAGTTGTGTGGTGTTTTCAGACTGGGTTAAAAGCTTCCATCTTCCTGATGGTCGTAAAAAAGGCTTTAAGAGATTATAAGAAACGAAAAACCACAACCTCCCCTTACCCTGATTTGAAATTCACCTCCATAAGCAGTTGGAGTGTGAAAGGCATAAATACCATGTTTAATTCTACTTCAGAGGGCCTACAATAAAGAGAATTCCTGCCACTGAAGATGAGGTGGCTATGAAAGGGAAAAGAGGACCTCTACACTAGAACTCCAAGGAGTCTTTTTCCCCTATGGCTTAAGTTAATTGCCTTTGAGAATTTTAGTTTACACAAAGCCAAACAGAACCAGAGCTTAGAAAATCACAAGCAAAAGAAGCAGCCTCAGGAGTTTGGCTACCTCAGTAGCCAATAGTTGTAAACTTCCAAGGACCACACGTCTCCATAACTTCTTAATCCACAACCTCCCTGGGCAACCTGTTCCAATGGTGAGATGCTGGAACAGGTTGCTCAGGGAGGCTGTGGCTGCCCCCTCCCTGGAGGCGTTCATGGCCAGGTTGGAAGGGGCCTTGAGCAATCTGATCTAGTGGGAGGTGTCCCTGCCCATGCAAGGGGGTTGGAACTAGATCACTTTCAAGGTTCCTTCCAACCCAAACCATTCTATGATTCTGTTATTCTGAAAACCACACGACACAGAAGCTGACAGTCACTAGCACCTTGTTGTTATTCCCATCCATCAATCAACTTTTTATAGGCATCTAAACTGAGATGCTACAAAAGTGTGCAGGCAGGCAAAACTGAGCATCCTTGCCAAATCCCACATTGCCACCTGATTCCCTTTGTAGACATATGACTTCACAGCTGCTCACTTATCAATTAAACTTTACCAATTGTGAAATCTGGTCTTATGGAATGTCAGAGCTAGGGGAAAGACCACTGTCAGTTAGTCTGGCTTTAGGAATGAAATGTCTTAGCATTTAAAAGCTTGCATCTGAATATATGCTACTGGGTCTGAAATTAACAGTAAGTGGAAGAGGTCAAAGTATCACATTTCAGAAGACTTTGAGACGCTTAGGATTTGGTTTTGATCACATTTAGAACAAAATAGAGTTGCCCCTTTGACCATCTTGAGAGTTGTGTTCTTTGCTAGCTTCTAATAAACACCTTTTATATAGACACATACTTGGCATGCTTGGAATGCCGGGTCTATATACAGCTAGAAGATGGATAGAGAAGCTATATATAAAAAAAAAAAAAAAGGCATTATTAACTTCTCATAAAGTTAACTTGGAGACAGACTCCTATAGAATCCTGCTGAGTTTTTGTACATGCCTAATCTAAATAACATGCTTTCATTGTGCTATTGCCACAACCCGTGAGAAATAATGTTTTTACATTTTTAGTTCCCCAACCTCAGAGACAGAATAAAGTGCCATGCCATTATTAAAGTTTCTGCTACATGTTCTAATGTAGACAGTCTCCTTCCCTTCTGACTTCTTCTCATCCAAATTAGATAGCAGTACATTTACTACATAGTAGGTCTATTGCATTTCTTGAAAAATTAGAATTTCAGTAACTTATAACAGACAATTATTTGCATAATCATAAGCACAGAGAAACAACAGGGTTCAAATAGTCAAGATAACCTAAAACTTTATCTTCTAGAAATCTATTGCTTGTGACTTAGGCAAACAAGTACTTGGATTAAACTTTCCCAATGTGATCAATCTGATTTGAAATCACCCTGCCCCACCTTAGGGAAAAAAACCCAACAGACATCCATTGCATATGTGTGCATGGACACACACACGTGTGAAAAGAAGCCTGCTCAGGCCAATTTCTGCTTCACTGGAAAGGTCTAGAAATTATAACACTTGAACCAGAAGACTTTAAATTTCAAAGGAATGGAAAGAAGAAGGAATGTCAGCTTCAGGGAGATGTCTTTTGTGGTCTCCTTGAAAAGCTACACCTTTGGCCAAGTTTTCTAATAAACAGTCTGTGTAAATGCTTAAAAGAATGAGAGAACAGAGCTTTAAGAAGCTAGCCTGCACGCTCATCACTAGGTAGTATTTTTGAACAATTATAGAGGATTTTATCTTGATTATTCTTCTTGTCTAAGACCACAGTAACACGAACATCAGTCAGGTGTTGGGATGACCAGTTTCTTTACATTTTTTATCACTTAGAAACCTCCTCAATGTCCAGAAGAAGAGAACAGATTTGAAGACTACATGTATGAACCACAAAGGAGGAGAAAGACGCAGGAGTCAAAATAAGATGACCAGTAAACTTGAAACTGATCTGAAGAGGGAAAATACAAAAAGTTTAGTGCTCAAAATAATGGTTTTGAAAACATCTTTTCAGCTGAAATTTGTTCTCAATGTATCGAGATAACGCTCACTGGTAATACCACAGTGTATCTTCATGAATGCCCACTCCCAGATACAAAAATGGTACACAAGGTTAAAAGCACCTAAGTGATTGAGTCCTGATTTTTCAGAGGATTTGTCTGCTTTCTCTGCTAACCTGAAATTAAATAATAAAACAATTGCTGACTGCTGTGAGAAGTCCATTTTAATTTACCTGTCTCAGGTCATAGTACCCATTAGTTCATGGTTTTGAAACAGCACCTCTAGTTCTTCCTCTTCTTCACTAGCAGATTTCCCATCAGTAATTTTTAAGATGGCACTTCCCAGAGTTTTTACTATATAAATAATAACCCTTTCTACTCCCTGTTGTTGTACTGAGGAGTTCCTTGATTTACCTTTCACCACTGCATGCTGCCCTCTCCTTGTGAGCTACAACAGTCTTCTTTCTTCTTGTTGCACTAACCTTCAGAAACTTAATGGTACATCACATATGACTGTTTGCCCAACCATATAAGCTGGTCTGATAAAGTATATTTCATCACCTACACAAATTAACTTGCTAATGTAATGCACTTAGACCATTAGCCCAATCTAAAAGTCAGTATTCACTTTTCATGCATTTGAAATCTTTTAGATCTTCATATGTTACTAACTTAGAACAAGACTGTTCAAATTTGATGTGCAACTGGTTTCTTTTCCCCAAAACTGCATTTCTGGGACAAACATAACATTGGGAAAAAAAAAAATAAAAAAATTTTGCTCTCAAGAACATACTACTGAACAAATCTTCAGCACATCTTGCTTAAAATTTATTTATGAAAGACCACATGATAAAAACAGGTTCAATATTACATTATGGATTTCAGGCATCTTCTTCCAACTAAATCTTCTCATTTTATTATTTCTCTACATTTTCTTTCTTGAGAGAAAGGAGTGAAGCAAGAAGTCTTCACGAACCAGTTTAGCAGAATGCTTTGCATTACAGGTAGTGACTGGGAAAGGAAGAAAACAACCCACTTGTTCAGTCAAGAAATTGGCATCAAGAGTCTTTCAGGTTCTAGAAGAAGAGCATTCTGGAAGAAGATGGTAAAGACTGAAAAGGAAAAGACAATTTTGCAGAGTCTTGATAAATAAAAAGTTTCAGATGCATCCAACTGAAAGATTATGACAGAAGTAACTGAAGTCAAAAAGAAGAAAAAACCTTAAAGGTTTAACTATATTATTTCACATACAAGGAGTTACAAGAAGACTAAGAAAAACATTCAAAAATGAAGTTTACACAACAGAATGTTAGGTAAGGTTTGGATTCAATACATTTTGACAGGGGAAAAGTGATGCAATTGCTATTTGGTAAATTAGGTGTCAGTAATTTCCATTTTGAGGCATGGAACATGCTTGGGCAAATATACTGTGCAGGCCCGTGAAAAACATTTTGGTTAAAATACTGCAATTAAAACAATGACCACTGGAATGATGATCACAAGTTTCAGCAAGATTATTTGTGGCTCATTCTCACAGAACAGCGACATCTCTATTAATGATCAATATACTGCAGTGAGTTTACAGTATTTGTAACGCTC